TTCTTACATTTTAATTTAATCCATTTCTATTAGTCTGTGTATTGCCATGTGACTGTGGTTTACCAGCAAGATTGTAACCAGAATAAATCTCAGGAAGGAGATCCATGACATCTGCCACTCTGACCTTCTTCCCAGCATTCATTTCTGTCTACTCTGTCTACCTAAGTTCTGTCTTATGAACTAGGCCAAGGCAGTTTCTTATTCATTACCCAATGAAAGCAACAGACAAACAAAGGGAACTCATACACCATTTCCCCTTTTCTGTTTAAACAAAAAGACTTTAACTTTAACATAGTAAAATTATATATAACAAAACAGTTATCAAGCAAGAATTACAGTTACAATATTTATATCTATTTTATCCTTTATTATAACAAAGGAAAACTATGAATATCTCTATTCCATAATTCCATAAGGAGCCTCGTTGATAAGAAGCCCACATTTCTCTTGAAGTAGATTGGTACTGCCAGGAGCAGACATGTCTCATTGTCATGAAAAGCCCTCAGTTATTAAAACATTTTAAATGCCATAGTCTGTAGTCTTTTAAAGATATGAAGAATGCCTACCTAATTGAAACATATATACATAATACTTATGTTTTGGTCTCTTATGCTCTGCAAATTCAACCTATTGTTTTATTTCATTTGTTTCATATTTCAGAAAACTGATTAGAAAAGTGTAACTGAGTGAAAGAGAGAAAGCTTATTTTATGAATATGGACCTATATGGACAAACTGAATGGCATATCACATCCACAGAAATATGATATTGAAGAACGTCAAATCTATGCACAGACCAAACGAATTTATATATATGTATATATATAGAAAATGTTACTAACATTACTACAAACTTGAATATTATCCATGATTGTCCATTAATAACCTAAATTTCCTAATTTTACATTACATTTTTAAATGAACTACACAATCACAATACCTTAATCAAGATCAGAAATGCACATACATATAACAAAATTGACCTTAAATTTGTATCTATAAATCAAGGTTTATACCAATTCAAATTATTTATATCCATAAAATAAAATAGTAATAGAGGAATAATTATTAGTTATATTATTGCAAATGTGAACAATAATAAATAATATAAATTATATTTATTGATATCAAAATATTAGTCATGGTTACTAATAATAAAATCCAAATAAAATAAATCTTTTCCAATTTGATGTCAACCTGAATGGGTGATGACAATTGAATTTGGTTATAATTGCATCCTAAACCAAAGGCACTGCTTAAGGTTGGGCACTCTATTTGTCACTCAACAGAAATTTAAGAGTATTGATTTTCTAAGTCAACATGGTTGATTCATTTGGGGGATGTTTATAGCATGGTGTGTATTAAACAGAAAGCACAGCTCTTTTATAAAATATCAGGGTCCAAAGATGTTTATTAATTTGCAGATACTAAAATACAAACAGTTTCATTAAAAATATCAAGGAGAATATTGCTGGAGGACATTCTTTACAGGAGAATTTTCATAAACATTTCAATAAAACAAGTCACTCCTTACAATGCATTTATTGCTCAGGAAAATGAATGTAACAGGAATCTCCTGAGTTATTTTTCACAGTACATAGAGTTATATCCAGGAAAATGCAGGATGACTATATTTAAGATGCAACGCTAGAAAGTATTTAGGAGTACTTATCACTTGAAGCTTTCAAATTTTGGATATAAAGGAAAGGAAAATGTTTTTGGAAAAGTCATCATTCTGCATTGCCTTAGGAATCAGATAGAGATGGATAGTCAGACAGACAAAGAGAGACAGAGATAGGGAAAGAGAGGGGGAGAAAGGGATAGAGGTGAAATCAGTCAGAATTTACATATTTGGGACTTTGAGATACACTGAAGAAATAATTGATAGAAAGTTCATATATTGAGAAGATACTTATTTATAACAACACAGGTATTCAGACTATTAAACATATTATTGGGAAAACACATGTATTCAAAATGTATAGCAATATTAATAAAATGCCGCTATATAAATGATTTGAAAAGATGGCTATGGAAAATAATGTAATGGAGTAATCATTTAACAAGTCCCTTTATTCCTTCTGATAATACAAAAAAACCTTCCAGTGGAAACCATGACACATATATGGCAATGTATCTGTGCCCAGTGACTGAGTATTGACAAAATGCTGGAGGCAATTATGTCAAATAGGTGCCTGCCTATTTTCACATTGATCCTGAGCATCAAGCCAAGAAATACAGCAACTTATTTCTTGTAAAAACACTAGTCAGTCAATCATCTACTTGGTTTGAAAAGGTCAGCAGAGAGAAGCATACCATCAGTCTGTAGCTGGATTATGAAGTGGAGTCTCCACTCATTCTTATTGAATGGTTACAGAAAATAAAAGCACATGAAGAAAGAATGAGAGCTACTGTTCATTCCACTGTTACTTTATTTTATTTTTTGGTATTTTTAGATAGGGATTTTCTGTGTAGTTTTGTAACCTGTCCTGCAACTCTGTGTAGAACAGGCTGGCCTTGAACTCACATTCACTTGCCTCAATCTGCTGAATGCTGGAACTAAAGGTGTGTGCCACAACCGCTGAACTCCATTGTTATTTTTATCTTCCTAGAATTTGGAGAAAATGCACATTCCACTATTGTCACTGAACAGAAGATTGGGTCATGGGTCAGGATTGAAGTATTTCGTTGAAGAGAGTGTATGTAGCTAAAGCCCAGGATTATGACCATGAATCTACATAATGTGACAGATATTTCCTTCCGTACTCGATAATTTTTTTTTTTTTTTTTTGGTTTTTCGAGACAGGGTTTCTCTGCGGCTTTGGAGCCTGTCCTGATATTTCTTTTTCTGTGTTCAAATCGCTTGTCATGGATATCTCCAGTAACATGCCTTTAAATTTGTTTATTGACGATTTCCCATATATATAAAACATTCTGATAATTCTTTCTCTAATGTCATCTCAATTCTGTCAAGTATCCTCCCACACCCAATACGTCCTTTTCACACTATTATTTATTTTTTAAGTTTATCTGTGACCCTATAAATTTATTCATGGCTATATGTGTTCCGATAGCATTGAAACTAACAATTGGGCCCTAATGGGCTTGCAAGTAGAAAGAATAGAGCTGGACAATGTTCTTCCTACCCCAACCTATCATTGGCCCATAGACCAGAAATGAAATGTGTAATCCCATGAGACACATTCACTTCCATAACCTCCAGCCCATAGGAAATGGCTAGTTTATGTCCAGCGTAAGCAAACATGCTAGTTGTGACTGAATATCCAGAATACATGGCACATTTAACACACAAAGTATGAGAAAAGTGACAGTCCAGTCAAAACGGACATGGGACATTGAGAGAGAAAGAGAGACACACACACACAGAGAGAAACAGAGACAGAGAGAGAGATAGATCAAGGAGACCAGAGACATCTTTTGCTAGTATTGCAAATTTGTTCATTAACTATTGAAACAGTGTGGAGAATACATAGTTTTCTGAAACTAAATATGGACCATGTGATGCAGTTATACAGCTCCTTGGAATATGCCCAAATGACTTGATATTCTCCTTAACCTGTATTTTCTCAGGCATATTCATTGCTACTCTATTCACAACAGCTAGAAAATAGAAAGAATCTAAATCTTCTACAGCTGTCTAATAGATAATGAAATAGTGATGCATGTAAACAATATTATAAGTATTCCATTGTAAAGAAAATTGAAATCATGACATATGCAGGCAAATATCAAAGATACTACTTATTTAGCCAGCCCAGATCTAAAAAGCAAATGTGGCATATTAGGTCTCTTCTGTTATTCCCAGTTCCAAATCTTCAGATAAATGTTAAGGGCTCACTTGCACTCATATGCATGAGACAACATTTAGTGAAAAAAAAATAGTCCACAAAATTGAAAGAGATGAAGGGGGTACATATTGGAAGGTTTAGAGGGAAGAAAGGGGAGGAGAGAATCATGTAATTATGCTATAATCTCAAATTTAGAAAAAGTAGAGAAAATAATAGGTTATAATTTAAAGAAAGTATCACAAAGGACCAACAAAAAATACTAAAATTCTAACTGTAGGTTATTCCATATGTCAGAGAGGGAAGTCCTAGAGGATAAAAAGGCACTCCAGAATCCTGATAGCCTTGGCTGTCCCTAGGATTGGATGACAAGATTCAATGCCTAAGTACAACACAGACCTTGGATTTGATGTGTAAAGGAGTCAACTGGGCAGGAAGGGGCTTTGCTTTATGATACGTAATCATATTAAGAGCAGAGTCTATTTGTACCTTTTTCAGCTTTTTGAACACAATTATTTATAGACTGATTTCATTTCTTTTGATAATTGATACCAGTATTTATTGCCAGGAGACATCTAGCGATATTTTTTCAGTTAGTTAAACAGTTAAACATTAGTGATATCTCTTGAAGCTCTGTGTTACAACCATTGAATTCAGTGTACTAGAAGAATAAAGTACTCGATATATGGAAAGATTTAAATATAGCAAAGGACATATCAATATCTATATATGAAATCATTTTTTAGTGTTACCAACTTCTCTTCTAATAGTGTGGTTGCTTTGGCTCATATAGTCCATGCTAAAATTTTCAATTCATTTACCCGCACAGTAAAATACTTAGATTCAGAATTTTTTTAAATGCATGTTCCATAGTTTTAAATGAATCCTATAGGACATATGCATATGCATTGTGACCTTTACCCACCAGTATAGTTCTGGAGGCAAAACAATTGCTTTAATGCACTCACAGGGATAGATCTTTCTGCCAGGAACCCTCAATTAACCATACCAACAAAACCTGACCTTTAGTCTAACTGTATTAGTTTAGGAATATGAGATCATATATGGTTCAAAAGGGTAAACGTAGAAATACTGGACAGATCCAAGTTGTTGTCATGCAGAACCATTGGTTGATTCCATGGAACTCCCTCTAACTAACTGTATAAAAAGCTTTGTCAGTTCAGTTCCTCCACAATCAATATCCTAATTTGAGCTTCTGCAGAAGAGCAAAGGCTGGTAGCACCATGGTAAAGTTTCTGCTGCTGGCTTTGGCATTTGGTCTGGCTCGTGCTCATGCAGAGGTAAATTCATTCAGTCGGTGAACAGGTTTGATATTCTTCAATAGCATATTTCTGTGGATGTGATATGTCATTCAGTTCATCCATGCACATCCATATTCATTTCTGACTTCCACTCATGTGAACTTTTTCAATAAGATTTTTCTAAGATGAAACAAATGAACTAAGGAAACTATGGGTTAAATTTCAGAGCTTAAGAGGCAGGCACATGAGTAATTCCAAAAGGTCTCATGTACCAAATGCTATGTAAATTGAGTCATCATATTACCCTGTGTTATTCAACATCCCTAGAAACATATTTTTAACTAATAAAGAAAATATTATTGATTTATATTTCTAGTTATTTTATGTATTTCCAAGGACTGGGATAATAGATTTGATACCAACTCACATTCTAATGTCCTTTGCTGTTTTTTCAGATTGATGGAAAGTGGGTTACTGTTGCCATTGCTGCTGACAATGTGAAAAAGATAGAGGAAGGAAGACCTCTGAGAGCCTACCTTCGTGAACTTAATTGTAAAGAGTCATGTGATAGATTGGAATTGACATTTTATTTCAAGTAAGCAAATTGTCAACCATGTAAACTTAGAAGACTATTAACATTTTACAGATTTCATCTTGTTAAATTTATAGGCCAATGTTCTGTTTCTGGTCATGAAATTGAAGGTCTTGTTGTCAGAAATGTGACTATGTTATTCCATAATGGGTTAGCTCTGGACACAACACAGAAATTAGATATTGTCTCCAGTTCCTTTATTGTTTCCTTAGAAATTATCCAAGTTGGAGGCCTGTGCTTGAAATTCAGGCTTTAATATTATATGCAGGAGATTCTAAGAATATCATTTATATTAATTGAAAAGTATGTGTGAGCATTTTGTTCAAAGACACACATGTCATGTTATTCAGTCAATTATGGCATAAAAAAGTCTTCTGTACCCATCTTTGATAAATCTAATTTGTAAAGTACTGTATCTGATGCTCTAGATTCAGAGATTCTCTCTCTGCCATCTGGATGACAATGTTCAATGAATGAGTGTATAATACCGTAAGAACTTCAAATGCTTTAAATCATTCCGATATTCTAGATACAATTATAAGATTTAGGTTAAAAATAAAATCACTTAAAACACAAGCATATATTTCAATGTACTTTTTGTTGGACTAAAAGAAGAGAATTAACATTAAAAATCATACTCAGTGAATACTTAAATCAGATAGAAATCACAGCCTTCATAGGACTTGTTAAAATTGACTCAAATAAAATAAGTCATGTACATAATTACAAACAGAATGATATTTTCTAAACAAGAATTAGGAAAACTGAGGTAAGCATAGATACTTCTCTTTCAGCTCTGTACACGGTTCATCAGGGTCCCTATAATACTTGAAGGTCGTTAATACTAATTACAATGTTGTAAAGAATCGTTACTCTGTTTAATTTTTTAGGGCAAATGGTCAATGTATAAAGACAAAACTCACTGGGAATAGGCAAGAAGATGGCATGTACAATGCACAGTGTAAGTATGGGATTTGGGAGCTTTCTCTGAACAAAAGCATTGTGGGTGTGCACGTACAAGCTAACACTTCAGCCACCTGTAGGTATATAATTCTAGAACCATTTTGGTTCCTTTGAAATTTATCAACCCTTCCAACCAACTGAGATATGGTACAAAGTCAGAGTACATTGTAGGTCTTCTGAAGTTTACATGGAGAAGAACACTATTTCCTGAAGATGTGAGTCATGCTAACAAAACATCTCCAAATAGTTTCCTGCATGAAAATTTACTTCTAGATAATATCCAGTGTCTCTTCTTTCATACAGTATCTTGGTTGTTATTGGACAGGCCTGACACTCACTAATAAGTCTCTCATGCCTCAAACATATTTGCAAACTTATAGCCTCAGGCTATCCAGTACTCATGTTATAGGCTCTTACTATCAACCTGGATTAATAGAGGATTAAAATTCACAATTCCATTTTAAAGATTCATTTTCTCATATTTTGTTAAGATCATAACATTTAAATCGTTGGATGATAACCTCAATTTGCAAAGCAGTTAGGAGAAAGTCTATTTAAAAATTTCAGACTGACTCAAATTTTAAAAATTGCTAAAGTAATAGCAACATTTTTCACTTGAACTATAACTGGTGTGCCTTTTGGTTTGATCTTAAATGAATGGAGTGCACATTCTTCTGGAGAGTCTAGTATTTCCTAAACTTTACATGGATATTAAAAAGCAGTCCTGTAATTGAAAATATCCAGATCCCAAAATACTTTTATTTCCTTGTGAACAACTTTTATCATTTAATCAGTGTCAGTAAGTATAAATTTCAGACTCTCTCTCACACAAACACACACATACACACACATACATACACACCTGGAGAGAGATAGAGAGAAAGGTATATCTACATAGACACTCACACACAGAGACAGACACATATACACTATGAATGTCTAATAAATTTGACATGTTCATTCTTATAGCTTTTCCATCAGTAGTCATACAAGATGAAAACTTTTGTGTATATTTCTCATTACTACAGTCTCTTTTGCATATATATTCATTTGCCCACCATGTATTACTATAGTATGACACCAAAGTTTTATACTTTTGGGAAATTGATAAGTGATCTTTTAGATCTGGTTGAAAGGGGAAGGAATACCCAACAGAGTGATCTCATGGGTCTTGACATGATGAATTCAGAGAAAAAGGAAAGTATCTGTACCTAGGATTCATTGTCAGGTTTAAAGAGTATTATGATGAGATGGGCAAAATTAATTACTATTGGAATATCTTTGCACACACGTGTCATATGATGATGAATCAGAGATGATTGATAGAGTTGCAGTAAATAATAATGTTTAGTCAACAGGTGACATCAAACAAAGTAAAAAGATGAAGGATAATCATTTTGAAATGTTTCTGTTATTGCAGTTGAAGGTGACAATACATTTGGACCTGTGTATGTAACACCAGAGTTTACAATCTTTGCCAGTCGGAATGTGGATAGAACTGGCCTGACTACAAACATGATTTATGTTTTTGGTAAGAATGGTAGTGGGTTTTTTTTAAATAGTAACAAAATTATCATCCAGCAAATAAGGATTAAGTCAGATTCACCCTCCTAATACAGTATCATGGTATTTCCAAACTCCCATGCACAAAGCAATCTCATCGCTTTGTGGACCAACTTTTAAATTATATTGTAATTTGAGTATCATGGTCATTGAAGATTTGGGGTGATGAGTGAGGTCATAGGAAGTGTTTATGTTCATATTTCCTCACAGGAAAAAGGGAACACATATTTTTCTAAAGTTCAAACCATTTTGAGTGTCTTTTGAAAAAGTGTGTACTAAATTAAAACATAAACTCTAGGTTATAGACTTGGAAGAAATGTGAGAATTCCATTGACAGGCATCCATGACTCTCTAGGGTCATGTTTTTGAAAGTGGGTAGGCTTGAGATGAGTGAACTCTCAAGAGAATTTTTTTTTGATACATCATGGAATACTGAAAAGTGATGTCATACCACCATTTAGACTTTATTAAATGTGTTCATGGAATTTGGGGAAAATTATTATTGCCTGTATTGACCCACCCAGGATAGATGAAATTGGAGTAGTTGGGATACTAAGGAAGCAATGTAATTTCTGAAGAATTCTACTGAACCTATCTTTAACATTGTCAATTATACAATATAGGAAAAGGTCAACCTTTGACTCCTGAACAATATGAAAAAATTGAGGAATTTGCCAAGGAACAGAACATTCCAACAGAAAACATCCGAAATGTTCTGGCTACAGGTAACCTCAGTGTTTATTATTATAGCCATAGCATTTCTAAATACATAGATACATATTCATTCATATATATATTGATTTATATTCATAAATATATAAACATACTTAGTCTATCAATCTATTTATCTATCTAGTCAGTAAGTTTGTGATTTAAAATAAATCTAGTCTTATACAATCTTTCAGTTGCTTTTTCCAGAAATAATCCTTTTGGAGCTTTTCTAATATTCATATGAGAACATTTATGTCACTCCTTACCCCGTACATATTCTTTTACAGATAATTGTCCTAAATAATGACCTTCTTTAGGTGAGTAGAAACAAAAGCATTGACTAACCATCTTGATATTTCAATAGATTTGTGTTTAATACATAAGAAATTAGAAATCAGTATGTTACAAAGGAAAAAATGAACTCAAATTAGGCAAAATTAAGATAGAATATTATTTGTCTTTTAAGGCTGAATATCTTATAGTTACAGAAATGAATGATATTCATAAATCAGTATGAAGGACTTTTATCTTCTTCAGAATTGCTAACATTTTTATATTGAGGAATATTCCATCAATCTAATGTATCTTGTATTTAACAAATCTTTCTTTCTTTACTATTGTGGGCTATTATTTTCAGTTTTGTACATGTATTATTTGTAAAATGATGTTGATGCTTTCAGTATATTCTTTGAAACCTCTCAATATAAATTTTCATGTATGTCACAGAATGTCATTATTCTCTGTTGAACATACTCCTATAGAATCCCAAGTGCAAGGTATTGGTGACTTCTAAGAGAGAAACTGTTTATGTACAATCCATTCTCTATACTCTGTATTGTTATATTTAAGTTTGCATTCATACATTCTTAAGGACAAAAAATTTCCTGTTCAACCATGTTTTAATTTTTGCTTTCATGTCTGCACAGATGACAACAGAATGAGAATTATGCATCAGATTCTCTTGACCATGGAATCGGTATTACATACAAATAACCATTTCTTGTTAAATGGATTTTCCCCTAACCTGTAAAGTCTGGATAAATCTTACCAAATTGCTGACTTACCTTTTCTTTCCCTTGTTATGATCTATGATCTCTTCTTACTTTTTGAATGCATAAATAAAATGTTTCAAAAAGCAATAAATATGTTTTGTAATGGATATATTTTTATGTGTTCTTAAATTTGGTTTGCCAGTATTTTTTTTTTGAGGAATTTTTGCATCGATGTTCATGAGCGAGAGTGGTCTGTAATTCTCTTTCTTGGTTGAGTCTTTGTGTGGTTTTGGTACTAGGGTAACTGTAGCTTCATAAAAAGAGTTTGGCAGTGACTCTTCTGTTTCTACTATGGGAAACACATTAAGGACTATAGCTCTTCTTGGAAGTTCTGGTAAAATTGTGCATCAAAGACAACTAGTCCTGGGCTTTTTTTTTGGTTGTCATGTTTTTTTTTTTTTTGACAGCTTCTATTTCCTCATGATTTATAGGTCTATTTAAATTGTGCACATACTCTTGATTCAATTTTGGCATATGGTATTTATCTAAAAACAAGTCCATTTCTTGTACATTTTCCAACTTTGTGGCATATAGGCTTTTGTAGTGAGACCTAATGATTCTCTGAATTTCCTCAGTGTCTGTTGTTATGTCCCCCTTTTCATTTCTTATCTTGTTAATTTGATGTTCTCTCTCTGCCTTTTGATTAGTTTGGATAGAGGTTTGTCAATCTTGTAGATTTTCTCAAAGAATCAGCTCTTTATTTTGGTTTGTTTTCTTTTTTTTGTCCAAAATGTGCATTTATTTCAAACTTCACATCACATTGCTTATATTAAACTTACTTATTTAATTACAGAAACATATTTGAGATGCACAGGGAGAAATGTTTTTAAATAATTAATTTCATTAACAATTTAATTCAATGATATAAATGGTGTAATAGAAATAACAGTGATTACTATTATCACATATACAGGTTTAAAAACTTTGGTTTGTTTTCTGTGTTTCTATTTTGTTGATTTCTGCTCTCAGTTTGATTATTTCCAGTTTTCTATTCCTCCTGGGTGAGTCTGCTCCTTTTTTTCTAGATCAGTTAGCTGTGCTGCTAAGTCTCTAATGTGAGCTTTCTCCATTTTTTAATGTGGGCACTTAGTGGTATGAACTTTCCTCTTAGCACTGCTTTAATTGTGTCCCATAGGTTTGGGTATGCTGTGTCTTTATTTTCGTTGAATTCATAAAAGACATTAATTTTTTTCTTTATTTCTTCCCTGACCCAGGGGTGGTTCAGTAGTTGACTGTTAAGTTTCCATGAGTTTGTAAGATTTCTGGGGGTAGCATTGTTGTTGAATTCTAACTTTATTCCATGGTGATCCGATAAGACACAGGTGGTTACTAAAATTTTTGTATCTGTGGAAGTTTTCTTTGTTACCGAGTATGTTATCAATTTTCGAGAAAGTTCCATGAGATGCTAAGAAGAAGGTATATTCTTTCTTATTTGGGTGGAGTGTTCTATAGATGTCTGTGAAGTCCATTTGAGTCATTACCTCCATTAGTTCTCTTATTTCTCTGTTAGGTTTCTGTCTAATTGACCTGTCCTTTGGTGACAATTCTCTTACTATTAGTGTGTGGGGTTTGATGTGTGTTTTGAGTTCTAGTAATGTTTCTTTTATGTATGTGGGTGCTTTTATATTAGGGGCATAAATATTCAAGATGTTCAAAAAATTATCCATTACGATCAAGTAGGCTTCATTTCAGAAATGCAGGGCTGGTTCAACATATGAAAACCTGCCAATGTGATCCATCATATAAATAAACTAAAAGAAAAAAAATCATATGATCATTTCTTTAGATGCTGAAAAAGCATTTGACAAAATTAAACACTTCTTTATGATAAAGGTCATGTAAAGGTTAGGGATACAAGGACCATATCTAAATATAATAAAAGCAATATACAGCAAGCCAACAGCCAATATCAAATTAAATTAGCTCAGGCTTCTTATTAACTCTTATAACTTATATTAGTCCATTATTCTAGTGTATGTTAGCCACATGGTTCAGTACCTTTTATAGTGGGGCAGGTCACATCTTGCTTTCTTGGTGTCTGTACAGCCTGGGGAGGAATGGGTTTCCTCCTTTCCAGAATTCCCCTGTTCTCATTGTCCTGTCTCTACTTCCTGTCTGATTGCCCTGCCTATAATTCCTACCTGGTTATTGACCAATCAGTGTTTATTTAAAACATAAAATTGACAGAATATAGACAATTGCCCTGCACCACTTTCCCATCTTTTAAAAAAGCAAAAAAAGAACATCTATAGTCCATTTTTGGGCATGTGGGCGTAATTTTACAGGCTACTTCCTGCTGGTTGGGGGCACTGATAATCTTATGGGGACCTAAAGAAAATTAAAAACTATGATCAAATCCTGACTGGAGTATCCTTTGATTCTTGATCATCTCAGGCAGCAGTCTTGAATCAGTTCTGGATGTAGAACTCGGACATCAAGGCCATCTGCTCCTACCAGAGATTTCTCAGGTGGTCTTCCTTGGTCAAACCTGATTTTTCTTAACTCAGAATGAATCCACAGCCTCTCATTTCCTGTGTAAACAAAATCAAAATCTTTTATCCAAAGTAGCATACCTTTTGACTTCAATTTTGAAGTCAAGATATTTTCAAAATACCTATCTTGGATTAATTCATCAACATTTATAAGCAAATATCTTTTAGCAGCTGTTGCTTCTTCCTCAGCATTCAAACAATTCAAAGAGAGCATAATAACACACAGTATCATGATTCTCTGTGTATTTTTCATCTTTACATGGCTTTATTTTTACCTCTATTTCTTTTATTTTTACTTTTACTTTTTGAAACAGGTTCTCTGTATATCTTTGGCTGTCCTGGAATTCCCTCTGTGGACCAGGCTGTCTTTGAACTCACAGAGATCCAGCTGTCTCTGCCTCACAAGTGCTGGAATTAAAGGTGTGTGCTACCACACCTTGAACTCACAGAGGTCTGTCTGCCTCTGTATTCCAAGCAATAAGATTAAAGGTGTATGCCACCTTGCCTTGAATTCACAGAGGTCTGTCTGCCTCTGTCTCCCAAGTGTTGGGATTAAAGGTGTTTGCCACCACACCAAACTACTCTCTTTCTTTTTTATTTTAAGGACTTTAACTTTTTCCTTTTCTCTCCCAAGCCTGCATATATTTTTAACACACTGTAAAACATTTAGAGGTTTTCTTCCTCTTTGAATCTCCCTTTACTGTATATCTCTCTTTTTCTGACCACGTCCATCTTTAATTTGCTAAGCAACATGGAGAGAATTAAAGCCATGGCTTTGACAGCTGGATCCAGCTCAGTCCTTAGCTTTCTGAAATTCCAGGATCATGGCAAAGGTTGGAGCCATGTTTATTGCCACAACTCTATGGCATTTCAAGGTCCTTACCGGCAAGCAAGCTACAACAGTGTGTCCACAAACAAAACTAAAATGCTTTCTCTGTAGCCAGAAATCCTGCCTCAGAGAGTCAGAGTTTGCACTGCCAGGATGGCCCAGAAAACTGGCATTTTAAAATGGTGCAGCTTTTCTCCTGCTATGGCTGAAAATCAAAAACCATGCAGTCAGCTTTTATCAACACCATTTAAGTGTTTTGTGTCAGGCCCTCTTAAAGAGCTGCAGGGTTTTGAAGCTAAAGCTGAGTCAGGAAGCCTCTCTTAAATGAGAGTGCTTGCCTCTAGTGAGCAGAACAGATCCAAGAAATTGCTGCTACCAAGAAGCCATGTTTTACTCTATTCTTTTCTGTCTAGAATTACTTCTTGAGCTCTTTCAGGCTTTATGTGAATACAGTCATCTACACGTTGATGTCATACTATTACCAGAGGTTTCTGTCCTACCCGGTTCCCACAGTTGTTAGGTCCCCAAAAAATACACAGACGTCTACATTAGTTATAAACTGTTTGGCCCATTAGCTCGGCCTTCTTATTAACTCTTATAACTTATATTAGTCCATTATTC